TTCCCTGCCTAGACAGAGGCAAACATAATTGTTGGGTTTTTTTTAATTCTCTTAAAATTATTACAGATCCATCAAAAGTCAGAGATTCCTTGACCTATTTATGCAGAGGGTCCAAAATATGTCATTGGCCTTTGCATAGGTCTCCACTAGACAGTGGTAAACCACTGAGTTAGCAATAGAGGTGGCTAACTTCTGGGTTGAGTTTTTGACTTTTATCTTAACTTAAAGAATGGTATCATCTTTACTCTTTCTCAACTAAATATTGGTATCATTTCAGTTCTCAGAAAACCTCAGGAAGGAATGAAGTTTGTGCCATGGACTTTGAGTAGGGGTTTTTAAGCCTATGGAGCCATTCTTAAAATAATGTTTTTAAATAAAATAAAATACATAGGATTATGAAGGAAATCAATTATATTAAAATAAAAATGAAGGTTTTCCTCCCATCCAAGCTCATGGACCCTCTGAAATCTATCCCAGGTTAACAACTATTGGTCTAGATTGTAAGCATGACCTTGTCTAATCAGCATTGTTGAGCAGTGAAAGAGAAAATTAGCCAATGGAACTTTCAGTACTGAAGCATGTCTGCTTCTTTCTCCAGGAAGAAGGTAGTTTCTAGAAAATGACAGCAGATATTCAGAACTGTTTTCATGGATATCCTAATTGAAATGTTTTCAGGATGGTTTAAACCAATGGCAAGCACTGCCTCCCACCCCTAAAAGCTCATGACTTTTTTCCCCCTTTTTATGGGGGGAACCCCTTAAATACCAAAAACCAAAACCAAAACCAAAACCATCATTTGATTTATGTGAAATTATAAGGTCACTCAGATTTTAATAAGTTTAATTTAGTAGTTCCATCTTTTAGTCAGTTTAATCTGAAAGATTTTTTGCTTTTGAACAATGACAGCTGAAAAAGCCGTCTGAGAATGTGACAGCCACTGAATTTGTCCTTTACATTCATTCATTCTTTTGTAGATTTTCCACCTACCCATAAATCTTAAACACAGAATTGCCAGACCTCTTTTAGTTGTGTTGCTATGGACAGATCTTGAAGACACCATAGTCTAGAGCAGATAATGTGTATTGATGATCTCTGCTATCTGAGTAATTTTGACCATGTGGACATCATCAGGAATAGTCCTCTATGGGCAGCTTGCTGCTGCAGTGGGTAGAGAACCAGCCCTGGAGTCAGGAGGACCTGAGCTCAAATTCGGCCTCAGGTACTTTAATTGTGTAACCTTGGCCAAGTCACTTAATCCTGATGCCTCAAAAAGAAACAAATAAACATAAAAAGGAATAGACTTCTATTATCTATTTTTTAAAATATTCTGAACTAAAGTATCAAAAAAGAGCACTTCCATACACAGAGAGCAGAAGACAAAAAGAGAATTCTATTTGGAACTGTGAATCTCCATTTCACTCTGCTTGTTTTTTTTTTTTTAAAAAAACAAACATAAAAATAAATGCTGATTGTCAATGTTTGACTATGTCTAGCAATGTTAGGGATAGAGGCATAAATAGCAGTTGTAAGATCTGGAGCAATTACCACAAAAGGCTCCTTTAATTCAACTTTTTAAGACAAATTTTTTTTTCCAGGGAAAATCTTGGGACACAAGTTCCAGCAAGCATACAACTACAGAAAGTGCAAGGCTGCCTTCAGTAGGGAAAGGCCGGGAAGGACTTCTTGCTAAGTAGGTACTAATGTTAGTTTCTGTCTGCCAAAGGACTATGAGAATTGTAAGTGTGCCCTAAATGTTAGTACCAAAGGGCAAAGTCCTGATTTTCTCACCCTAGTTATAAGTTTTGGTGCTACTTTTTTTTTTCAAGCAAGAGGTATGGCTGGGCTGTGGACTGCACATGTAAAGATAGGAAGTTTGGAATGTTTATAGATCTGCAGAAACAGCTGTTACTTCATTCAATCGTATGCTAGCAATTGCCTGGCAGATTTTATCGCCTAGAAGCTTTTTTTTTTTTTAGTTCATCTAAGCCCTGTAGTGCTCCTAAGTCTGTATAGCACACATGTGCAATAACGATTTTTGCCTGCTTAGACTTTGTTAAGCAGAATGTAATGGAAAGAACCCTAGGTTAGCAATAACAGTAAGTCAGTATCAAAGTCAAGGCTAGATTCCTGACTTAACTCTACCGGCCTTATCTTTCATTCATCACATGTATATCTTGTTTATACACAGTTGTTTACATATTGTCAACCTCATTAGACTCAGCTCCTTGAGAGTAGGGATTGTCTGTTGCTTTTCTTTATACAGTTATCTCTTCCACTTCTCGGTGCTTAAAGGTGTGGCTCCCCCTCCATCTGTACAATCCATGTAAAATTTTTTGTTTCTCCCTTTGTACCAGAGAAGTCTGATTTTTTTCTTTTTCTTTTATGGGGTGTTTACAGCACCTAATTGTAAAATTTGGGTGAAATATTTAGTCACAGGCTCTGTGCTGTCTCCTGGCCTTCACATGTCTTCTGAAGCTTTCACAAAACCCCCAAAATTCACATTTAATTTCTTATGCCAACACCTGATATATTGAAACCATGATGGGGAAAAATCCCAATGTGGAAGAGATAACTGTATTCTCAGCACGTAGGACAGTGCCTGGAGCATAGTAGGCACTTAATAAATGCTTGTTGGCTGGACTTGACTTATTTGCAATTTGAGGGGGTTGGATTTGATGATCTCTAAGGTGACCTGTAGCTGTGAAATTCTGTGGTTCTACGTATCCATGACAGAAGCTATATAATGGAGTGGAAAATAGCAACAATGAATAGCTAGCATTTATATAGCACTTGAAGGCTTGCAAAGTGCTTTATAAATATTCTCTCATTTGATTCCCACAAATCTAGGAGCTAGGTGCTAGGTGCTACTATCATCCTCATTTTACAGATGGGGAAACTGAGGTTAAGTGACTTGACCAAGGTCATATAGTTAGTTTCTAAGGCTGGATTTTATTTCAAGACTTCCTGACTCAAGATCCACCACTCAATTATTATACTACCTACCTACCTCACTAGGCTTAGAGTCACAAGAACTAGATTTGAGACTGGACTCTGCTTATATGCCTTGTGTCTATGGGCAAATCACTTGGCCTTTCTGGACCTCAGATTTCTTATCTAGAAAACGGGGACAATGATACTTCTATTAATTGCTTCAATGAGGTGCTTAGTAAGGAAATGCTTTGTACACTGTAAAGCAGTCACAATGAGTGACTCTCTCTACCTATTACAGTGATGCTGCTACTACCCAGAATATTTCCCGAACTCTTCTCATAAATCTAAGCCATCACTTTTAGGCACATCCAGGACGTTTTTGGACTCAGAACAAGAAAATTCAGCCTCATCACATATACCCACCTTGCTCTCTGGTCTGGGCTTTCAATGACTTTTTGACTAGTTGAAAAAAAAAATCAAATGCATCCTTAAAGGGCAAAAGTTTGGATCATTCAAAAGGTGCATATTCCAAAAACAATGTGCAGCAGGCAATTCTCCAAAAGAAATTTAAAAAACTTTGGAATATATATATATAGTTTCCCAAGTTGGCAACTCTCAGTTGGACACATTAAGTTCACATTTGTTTAAAAAGCAAAAAGCAAAAAATGAAACTCTACTTCCTCAGAGCCATACCTAATTTTTTCTTTTTTGGCATCTGTCAAATTCAGAATTTTAAAAATTTAATTTTTTTTATAATATGGGGAAGCATACTGCTCACCTCATTGGATTATCATGGAGAAAGAATCTTGTAAGCACAAACATGCTATGAAAAATAAGCCAATTCTATTAATAATATTGTATTAGTCATATAGAGCTTTATAATCTTTTTCAAAGTAATTTGTAAGGCATTATCACATTTGATCATCACAGAAACCCTGGCGGGTAATTAGAATAGGTTCTGCCACCTTTTTACAGATGAAGAAACCAAGATTGGGAGAGGTGGTGAGAACTATCCCAAGTCGCATAGAAGTGGACTAAAGCATAAATCCCTGACTTCAGCATTGTTGAATATTATCTTTGTGTGCCACTCCGTACTACAATAGGTACTTAAATAAATTCCTATTGAACTGAAGATTAAAAAAAAGTAGAACTTAACCCTATGGTAAGAAAAAAGTGTTCTTCAATTGAGGACTGACTAAGCAAATTGTGATATAGCCAAATGTAATAGAATGTTACAATCTATGAGAAATGTTGAATGGGAAGAACTCAGAGAAGTATAGGAAGACTTATACGACCTGATGGTGAGTGAAGTAAGTACAACCAGGAAAAGCATATGCACAATGACAAGAATGTAAACAGAATGGCAACAAACCCAAGCTGACCACAAGCTTGCCCCTGTAAAAGAGTTGAGAAAATACACCTGCCTCTCCTAATCATAGAGGTGTGGAATAATGAATGCCCTGCTAGAGTCAGCTGATGTGTTGGTTGGTTTTTCTGAACTGCTTTCCCCCCTCCTCTTTCTTTTTAAATCTTTGTAACAAGTGATAGCTCACTGGGTAGGGAAAAGAGTCTTCTTCTACCTTATTCTCCTCAACCTGGTCTATGATACAGTGACATAGACTCACTTGTTCTTCCTTAGACATAACACTCTTATCTCTCAAGTGAACATTTTCATTAACTGTCCCCCATGCCTAGACATCTTTCCTCCTTATGTCTACCTTCTGGTATCACTGGCTTCCTTTAAATCTCAGTTAAAGTCCCACAGTTAAGAAGCCTTCCCTCTGAGATTGTCTCCAAATTCATTCTGTATATATCTTTATTGCACAGTTGTTTATATGTTGTCTCCCCCATTAGACCATAAGCTCCTTGAGGGCAGGGATTGTCTTTGCCTTTCATTTAGTACAGAGCACTTAATAAGTGTTTGTTGACTTTACTTGACTTGAAATAAATGTGATGTAAAAACCCAAGGTGCAAATTTTTTAAAAAGGGAGCACAAGAAAAAATATGATTAATTCAGGATTTTAACTTGTTGCATTTGAGTTAACCAAGTTTTCTGGAATGATACTTACTTAATGTAACATTTGTTGACACTTGAAAATCACCATACGTGATTAAGCAGGTTAAAGAGAAATTGTTGGTTTGATTGACGCAGAGTTCACTGTCAATACTATACAGCCTAGTTGTTGGGTCTTGGAAAATGGTGGTGTTGAAGGAAGCTAGTTCTTTCCCATCTTTCAACCAGAAGAGCTTAGGTTGTGGATAACCTTTGCTAGATGAACAAGTTATCCTCTGAGACAATTCTCCTTCATGCATAAGGATATTAGGATCTGAGAAGTCAGCTGGAGAAAGAACAAGGAGGTAAGTACATTCAGAAGGTAGAAATATATGTGCATATTTGCTATATAGTGGACTTCACTTTTGAAATTAATAGTCTTGCAATCAGAAGAATTATAAATCTGAGACAGAGATAGCCAATACTGTTTTGTCAATTAGCTACATCTCAATTTTTCTGCTTGTACTTGACCTGCTTACCCCAATTCTCATCTATTCATAGTAGGAAAACAGAAGGAGGACATATAGGTCAGCCATCTGTTCATTTCTCACTAGGTTGCAGTCTGATCATGTCACAGAAGTCTCTTCATCCTGGAAGATCATTTCTTTTTGTCTATGGAAATTATTGGTAACGTATATAATAAACTCTCTGTTGTACGACATGGTCCAGGAATATATTTCTAGTTAAGCAAATATTCTAATGAATAAAATGTGAAACTTTTATAAGGCATGTGAATTATCTGTTTTAAATAATTGAGATACATATATGTATACACACATACATGTGTGTGCACATATGCTTATATATACAAAGGGAAGGGATAGCAAGGTTTGATGGATAGAGAACCAGGCTCAGAGTCAGGAAAACCTGGGTTCATGTTCCACTCCTAATCCAGATTGGCCATATGAACTAGAACTAGTTGTTTAAACTTTCAGTGCCTCAAGCAACTCCTTAAAAATTTTGTTTTCACATCACAGTATCCCTACCTGCCCCCCCCCGAGTGCCATCCCTCATAATAAAGAATAAAAATGAGGGGAAAAAGTTCAATAAACTAACATATTGAAAAAATTAGAGATTATATGCAGTGTTTGACACTCTTTGTCCCCCATTTCTGTAAAGAAGGAAAGGAGATCTAGACAATTCCCTAAGGCAGAACATTTACTGGGATTTCCCTGTACCAATAAACTCACGAGTACAGACCCCTTCCACCAAATATACCTACCTAGAGAATATAATCTTCATAACAATACTCTGTGCATAAACATTTGCTGAATGAGATGATCATTTTGTGTGTGCACTTGCTTATGATTTTCAAAGTTCTTTGCCATGAGTTATCTCATTTAATAAAATATAACTAACATTAAAACTACAGCATACCTACTTTAATATTCTTTGATGATCCAAGAAGGATCTTTAGGATTTTGGAGCATCTGGGGTCATCATCATGAGCATCTATTATTGCACTGCTCATGTGCAGAAGGCCATCTAATAGAGATTTTTAGTTGGTAGAATGATCAATAAATCTGGATTTACTATATGATTAATATTTCTTATGCTTCAAAGATCTAGGAGTGTAAGTGCTGCCTCCACTAGAGCAGATCTCAGCCCTTCAGTGACTTAGTAAATGGTTTTCAAGAGTTGCTGTGCCTAAAAATTCACACGACTACAGCCCAGGCTGATGATGAACCTCTGAACTTAGCTCTGCTGGTTCTCAGACAGAGGCTCATAGACTGCCATTGGTCTGCTTTCAAGTACTTCCCAGCTTGCTGGAATCTGATGTACATGGCAGAAACTGGTGTCATTTTCATGCTTTGATGAGGCATCAGAGCAGGACTTTAATGGGGGCATATAGAAGATAAGTCTGGCTGGAGGTTTTACTTTGTTCATAGTGAATAAAGTTATTAGTTCTCCTTCATCCCTGAGGAAATGAAGTCTGTTCTCCTTTGATGAATCTTCTGTTAGGATTATGGGAGCTGCCAAAGGGATCTTCCTTAAACACAGTTCTGACCGTGTCACCCCTGGACTCCAGTGGCTTCCTGTTGCCTCCAGGAGAAAATCTAAACAACTTGGTTTGGATTTTAAAGCCTTTCACAACCTTCACAAACCAAAGGAAGGTTTGGAAGCACCAGCCTTCCCTTCTGGACTCATTATATATTTATTCTCCTTCCTACCCTCAAAGATCTACCACCTTTCTGTTCCTCACACGTGATACTCCAGCTTCCATTTCCATGTGTTTGCACGACCATGCCCCACATTTGGAATGCTTGACCAATAGAACATAGGCTCTTTGATGAAAGGAACTGCTTTACTTTAATCTCTGCATTCCCAGGGTCTAACATAATAGATGGCACAGAGTAAATGCTTAACAAATAATTATAATTAATTGGTTAATTAATGTAACTCTCACTAGCTGTGAGCTTGGGCAAGGGGAAAGGAATAAGGATTTATATAGCACCTACTATATGTCAGGTACCTTACAAATATTATCTAATTTAATTCTCACAATGACCCAGAGAGAGAAGCTATTATTATCCTCATCTTACAGTTGAGGAAGCTAAGGCAGATAGAGGTTAAGTGACTTTCCCAGGGTCACACAGTAAGTGTCTGAGGTTGGATTTGAACGCAGATTTTCTTGAGTCCAGACCCAGTGCTCTATGCAACTCAAGGGCAAGTCATTCAATTTCTCTGTTTCCTCAGCTGTAAAAAAAATGAAGGATAAAATACTTGTCCTATGTACCATACAAGGTGATGATCAAGTAAGATAATAGATAGAAAGTGCTTTGTCAACCTTAACGTCTATATAAGCATCAGTTCTTACTATCTAGTGACAGTAAGAGTTAGTCTTCTAGCACTTACCTCTAATCGATAATTTCACATCAAGCTTGTGGACACGTTTGTATTGTCCTCCTACCAATTTCTGTACTATACACTCATAGGTGCCCTCATCCGGCACTTGTAGAGAAAGGATCGTGACAGAGAGGTTATTGGACAAGTCAATTGCAGTCGTCCTATTCACATAAGAGGGGTCGATGAGCTCTTCGATCTTTTTCCCAGGTACATAGGCCTGTACTACTCTCTCAGCATTTTGCCAGTAGACTCGATAATTTGTCATTTCCTTCTTAGGAATATTATAGTCACATGAAAAGGTAGCAGGTTCATTCACTCTTGCCACCTGGGTCTCTCCTAAAGGGAAAAAAGCACAGACATAAGTTGTGTGACTGAATATGAACTGTGATTTCAGGTCATCTGGAACAAAGAGATGGAGTGTTTGTGATTCAGTGTCAGCAATGCTCTTGGGCTTAAAGATATGAGAATCACGTAGCCAAGAACTTTTGAATAGTCCCAATATTTTCAAATGATCAAATGAAATAATATTTGCCAAGAACTTTGCAAATCTTAAAGCACTCTATAAACGTTAGTTATTTCTTTTAAAGTGTACTTTTATTTATTTTTTAAAATGGTTGATTTCCCCCCACCCCACCCAGTTATTCTTTCCTGATGATCCTGTAGATAATCACAACTGAAAGCTTGGAAATCCATGGTAGTGGTGATGAATGACTCATGGAGTTTTTCTCCAGCCATCTGTGGAAAAATGTGGGTGTTTTTTCTAAAAGGTCATTGATATGTATCATTCATGAGTTGCCTGAGGTTCCTGCTGGGGGGCGGGGGCATCCTCCTATAAAATTCAAGAGCTGTGCAAGAGCCTGACACAAAGGAGGAACTGAAAGTGGCCTGGGCAATAGAAGCTAAGAGCTTGGAAACTCCCACTGAGGTGCTGCCTTGAATGATCAGGTTCTGTGAAGAAAGGAGGAAAGAAATGGAGGAGAGAGAGAGAGAGAGAGAGAGACAGAGAGACAGAGAGAGACAGAGACAGAGACAGAGAGACAGAGACAGAGACAGAGACAGACAGAGAGACAGAGACAGAAAGAGAGAGAGAGAGAGAGAGAGAGAGAGAGAGAGAAGGGAAAAAGAATGAACAAAAGAAAGAAGAAAGAGAGAGGAAGGAATAAAAGGAAAGGGAAAAGAATGAAGAAAGAAGAGGAAGAAAGGAGAAAGAGAAAGAGAAGGAAAGAGAAAGATAGAAAAAGAATGAGCAAAAGAAAAAAGGAAGAGAGAGAAGGAAGGAAGGAGAGAAAAAGAAAAAGAAAGAATAAACAAAAGAAAGAAGAAATAGAGGAAGGAAAGGGAGAGACAGAGAGACAGAGATAAAGACAGACAGGAGAGACAGAAAGAGTCCAGAAACCAAGAAAATAGACAAACTGAGTCATCTAGTTCTAGCTCATTTGTGTTTCAATCGGCCTGAATCCCACCCCTTTGTGGGTAAAACCCTAAAGCCATAGAACGGCAGAGCTGGTAGGACTCTCTCTTCCTTTGAGATGATGTTCAAGCACCATCTTTTTTTTTTTTTTGGCTCAAGCGCCATCTTCTGCCTGAAGTCTTTCTTGATCCCTCCAATTACTAGTTTCCTCCCTCCCAAACTACCTTGTATTTAACTACTTCATATTGACTTGTATTTATTCACTTTATATTTGTGCTGCATGTACATATATGTATGTACTTGTGGTTTGCCCGAGTAGAACATAAGGTCCTTGAGCACAGGGATCATGTTAGTCTTTGCACTTGTATCCCCAGCGCCTAGCACATTGCTTGGCATGCTGTAGGCTCTTAAACAATACTTGTTTGATTAATTGACCTTCGTGATCATCTAGATCGATTTTCTCTTTGTTCAAGTTAGGAATCTGAGACTTAGGGGGAAGCGAGTTGCCCAAGGTCACAAAGCAAAATAGTCCAGCTTGAACTAGACACAGGTCTTCTGATCTGAGTCCTAGTGTTCTTCCTCCCATGGTCTTCTTTTTAGAATATTTCTTTCTATGGTTAAAAAGTTGTAATATATTTCATCTTCAAATTTCCTTTGGTTTGTATCACTTCATTACTGCTACTAGACATCTTGGTTGTTCCTGATAATCATGGTTTCATATCTATCCCAGCAATATGTAGTCAACTTCCTACTCGGAGAAGGGCTCAGGGCAGGAGTAGGAATGAACTTGGTATTAGTTTGTGGCCCAAATCAGCTCTCTGAAGTCTAAACCAGTCTATTTGGGAGAACTAATATTCTAAATTTCTCATCCAGCAGTACCCTTTTACCAGAGGTCAATTGCCACAAGGTTGGTATAGTATTGAGTGACAGGCCTGGAGTGAGGAAGACTCATCTTCCTAAGTTCAAATCCGGCCTCAGACACTTATTAGCTGTGTGACCCTGAGGAAATCACTGTTTACCTCAGTTTCCTCATCTAAACCGAGCTGAAAAAGGAAATGGCAAACCACTCCAGTATCTTTGCCAAGAAAATCCCGAAGGACATGACTGGAAATGACTGAACAACAGATATTTTTCTTAATTTCTCTAGGGCACAGATATATTTCTCTCACCTGCTACCTGGTTATTTGGCCCTCACAGGTTCTATGGTCCTGGTTTAGTGGTTGTGGCTGTTAATAGTTACAGACAAATAATGTCTATTCAATTAGAAAATCCAGGAGGGCATGGATTTTCCCTAAAAATCTTTAGTTAAGGCAGAGATACAACTTTAATCAACTGAGTGGCTTAGCCATTGACTCATCCAATTGGCATGGCCAATAGAGAGATGTGTACTTACATTCTAATGGTGTCAAAACCTTCCCAGGAAAGGGTTGCAAAGACCCGTTCCTATTGAGATATAAGTGACTGATGAAGCTTAAGATCCGACAACTCTCAGATATTTGCATTTTAAAAGGGGAGCAGAAGCTCTTTCCTAAGAATTTTCTGCTCAGAAAAACCTAAAATCAGAACTAGCCTGGGTTTCCTGGGGCTTTGCCCTAGAGTACCAGCTTACAGTAAACAGATGGCACGTTTCCTCCCACAGCTGACAAGCCTCAATTTGCTGCCTCCCTCCAACAAAGTCTAACTCCCCTGGGGCCTCTTCCCCTCCTCCCCCACTGTCTCATTCCTCCTTTGCCCTCAAGCCCTTTGGTGGCAAGGACCAACTCTCCAGGGAAAAGGACATCCTATCTCCCTGTGCACTGCACTCATTGTTAGACTGTTCTCTGCACCCTCTTTACAAACCTTTCTTCTACCTCTGGTCCCCACCCCACCACTGTATTTGCCTAATGTGAAATAATTTCAAATTAGGACTTTTCCTAAAATGATTTTTCTCTCTCTTTGTATTGGCTACAATGTCCATAATAAAAATTGTTGCTTATTTAGCACCTTAAGACGTGTTAAGTGCTTTATATAGAATATCTCACGTCCTGTCTAGACCCAAATGTAGAGCAGGTATAGCTCTGATTCCTTCATTTCTTTTTCTTAAATTTTCTTTTCTTCATCTGAATTTAGCAATCATCAACAAAAGTAAACTAGCCAGTGAGTGATTCTAAACACTACCTGATTTTGAGCCCCTAGAGAAGGGCATCCATAATTGAGGAGCCTTCATGATAGTCACTTAACATATTTCCTACCCCTGACTCCCATCCCCAGATAAGTATTTCCAACCAGAAAGGAAAGAAAGGTGCAGTGACTTTATTTTCTGAACAATCAGTTGAAGCCCATGATCTGGCAAAGAATATTCTTAAAAAGGCTTAGTAAAAGCCTTTTATTAAGATTAGGATTGTCTCAGAAAATCCACAGCTGAAGTTGCTGTCCTAAGGTCCTGTTGCTTAAGGTGCTTTTATAGCGATCTCACTCTTTATCAGCCAACTGTGCCTTTCCCAGTCCTGTTTTCAGGTGACTGTAGACAAAGGCACACCGAGTGGAAAAGTAAAAAGAGGCAGTGTTGGTACCTTTATTGTCAGGGTTTGTTTAGAAGGAGAGCTTGTGTATTTCCCTGGTCAAATGCTGGGTCAGCCAGTTATAGGTAAGAAATGATCTTACTTGTCCCCTCCCTGTTAAGGAAATGAGTAATCTCCTGGGCGTTTTCCTGCCTGCTAAAAAGGCCAGGGTGCATCTGTGGCCCCTGATTCCAGAGAAGGGGAAGGCTGGGGAAGGGGGTAAGAAGAAGGGAACTATCCTGAAGCGGGTAAAAATATAGCCCTGTACGTATCTGAAGGGAGACTGAAATCTTTCTTTTCTTTTTTCTTTTAAGGCAATTGGGGTTAAGTGACTTGCCCAGCGTCACACAGCTAGTAAGTATTAAGTGTTTGGTCTGGGGCAGATTTTGAACTCAGGTCCTCCTGACTTCAGGGCTGGTGCTCTATCCACTGTGCCACCCATAAAGGGTATAGGACTTGCTGCAGGTCACATAGCTCTTTGGTTTAAGAACTAAGACTAGGGGAATAGAAGCTGTAGTGAGTCATCTCTCCTAAGGACTTTCTTCTCAGGAAATCCTAAAATCTGAGCAGTAACTAGACTGGGGTTTTGTCTTAGGACACCAGCATACAGAGGAGTACACTTCCTTGCTGTGCTTTGTCTTGCTTGCTACCTCCCTCCAACAAAGTGTAACTCCCCAAGGGTCACTGCAGCCAATGCTCCCCACCCCCCAACACACACACACACACACACACACACACACACACACACACACACTGTTTCATTCTCCTCACACCTGAAAGAAGTCTTTCTTTCCCCTCAAGCCCTTTGGAGCCTGACTCTTGAGACTTCTGCTTTTCTACTATAACTTTTTGAAATTGGTTGTATCTGTGTCTATCCTTCCTTTTCCTCTCCTGTCATGAAATCCCTCAAGGACAACACATGTATAACTTTTCTAGTTGATGATGAAACATACTGTGAGCTATCTATATCTACTTACTTACCTACCTACCCATCAATCTATCTACAGGGTGTCCCAAAAGTCTTAGTGCTTAGCTTTAGTAGCTTTAAATTGCACTAAGAATTTTGGAATACCCTGTATATCTACACAACTCCATATGTGTAGACATAGATACACATGGGATAGATTGCCTCTGAGGCTCTTTATAACTCAAATTTGTAATCTTATCCCTATGATCCTCTGATCCCTAAGAAAAGTACAGCAGATATTCTAGAAATCCCAAAATATATATATGTATATACACACACATTTACATATATACACATATGTATATGTGACAGTTATGATTTCTATAGGAATAGAGCATATATGTATACATATATGAATGTGTACATACTTGCATGTACATGTGTTTGTTGTTTTTAGTCTTTATCATTCATGTCTAACTCTTTGTGACCCCATTTGGGGTTTTCTTGACAAAGATACTGGAGTGGACTTCTTCTCCAGCTCATTTTACAGATGAGGAAACTGAGGCAAAGGGGGTTAAGTGCCTTGCCCATGGTCACACAGCTGGTAAGTGTCTGAGGCCAGATTTGAACTCAGGAAGAGGAGTCTTCCTGACTCCAGGCTCAGCACTCTATCCACTGCACCACTTAGCTGCCCACATTTACACTATATTATATATAAACACACATACACACACACACACACACAGAGGTGCATATATGTATGTATGATAGAAGAGTCCCTTGCTCTTCCACAAACAAAATATTCTGTTTCTCTATTCTGCATATTTTCTCTGGCTGTTTCCCATGCCTGGGACACTCTCCCTCCTCATTTCTACCTCCTGGCTTCCTAGGTTTCCTTTAAGCCCCAGCTAAAATCCTATTTTCTTCTTCTTCTTCTTCTTTTTTTGGCTAGGCAATTGGGGCTAAGTGACTTGCCCAGAGTCACACAGCTAGTGAGTGTTATGTGTCTGAGGTCACATTTGAACTCAGGTCCTCCTGACTCCAGGGCCAGCGCTCTATCCACTGCACCACCTAGCTACCCCCAAATCCTATCTTCTACAGGAAAACTTTTCCAACTCTACCTAATTCTAGTGACTTTTCCCCTTTTAATTATTTCTTATTTATCTTGTATATAACTTGTTTATACACATTTGTTTGCTTGCTGTCTCCCCCATCAGACTGTAAGCTCCTTGGGGGCTGGAATTGTCTTTTGCCTCATTTTGTATCCATAGCACTTAGCAAAGTACCACGCACATAGTAGATGCTTACTAAATGTTTATTGACTTATTACCAATGCACATCAGAACCTGCTCAGTATATATTTTTAAAAAGTATAGACACATATACATATATAAACACCACGTCATCATCATCAGCATCATGTACTGGCCTTAGAATCAGGAAGATTTGCCTTGAGTTCTAGAGTTTTCATATAGGATAGTTATGTGTATGTCTTAGTGTAAAACTGCACTAAGATGGAGTGTCTTGTTCATGGAAAAAGGGAAGGCCCTCAGTGCAAAATTGAACTAAGAGTTTTGGGACACCCTCTGTATACAAATGTACCTTATAAATACATATAACTATCCTGGATGGAAACTCCCTCAACCAAAGTAGATCAGCAACTCCTTTGTAACTTGTGGTGCTAGAGTTGCATGGAGCACTTTGAGCTTAAGTGGTTTGCTCCTGGTCATATGCACAATACATACATAAACAACTAAACAAACAAAAAATCTACTCCATTCAATAAAGGCAAAAAAGTCTTGGGCTTAGATCCAGCTAGAATTAAGCATTCTCCCCTTCTTCCACTTTCTACTCCTTGGTTTTGCATATTCATCTGCTGAGTATTTAGTTACCCGAAGTACACACTCCTTCCCCTCCCACGCCCACACTTTCATTATCCATCCTACAGCAGAAGTGATACAGAAAGCTAGTTCATCAATGGCCTGCCATAGGTGTAACAGATAGAATAAATGCTGGCCTCCAGTGGTAATTTTCCAAATTGACAAGGCTCATTCAAGTGAGAACAATGCAGGGATGTACTGGTAAAGGTTTAACAACTGGCTGGGGGTCGGGGAAGGGAATGTATAGGTGATATTTTTCAGCTTAATTTGCATTGTTAATGTTTTCTCTACCTCTTTCTTAAGTCGAGACAATCAACAAAATAATAATCCAAGCCTAGATTCATAGTGTTTGGCTGATTTGGGGGGAGTAAATGCTCATACTGGATATTTTGAGTTTGAGTTGGCTCTGGCACATCCCTGGAGCAATGTGCCCTCCAGCTCCAATCCATTGGTGTGGGGAGTTGCTGGTGGTATGTTACCATATACCATACGCAGAAGATAGAGTCAGGGAAGAGAGGAAAAGATTACAGAACATGAACAAGGAGAGAAAAGAAAAAGAGAAAGAGGAGAGAAAGAGCAGGAAGGAACGAAGACGGCACCAAATAGGAGAGAGAACCAGAGGTGAAGGATGACAAATCTGGGAGTGGCAACGGAAGAAGCCTATGCAATGAAGACCTTATCTCAATTCATCTCAAAGATTCATTGTAAGAGTAGAATCAGCCCTAGGTTTGGATCTGGAACCCAGAAGACTTGCTTTGACATTTTCCTGTTGTGTGACTGTGGATACACACACACACACACACACACACACACACACACACACACTCACACACAATTTACCCTTTTTTGAATCTTAGCTTCCTCCTCTGTAAAATGGGACTGGAAATCACATAAATGGTACTAATCCCACCGGGCTATTGTGAGGCAAGTGTTTCCAAAAAAAAGTACTATAGAGCTCAGCCTCAGTCTCTTTCATGTCCCTTGCAGCACCTAGCCCAATGTCAGGTACAGATTAGTTGCCTAATTCATGCTTATTGATTGATGATGAAGCCCATAGTTGCTCAGTAAAGAAGTCCCTAGCATGAGGACTGCACCAAATACACTGGTCAAGTGAACAGCCAGAGGATCATGGATTAGGAGAGAAGGGACCTTAGAAGTTATCTAGTACAAACACATACACACATTTTACAGATGAGGAAACTGAGGCTCAGAGTAATTGACAGAGTCAGGATTTAAACCCAGGTCCCATAATTCCAAACCAATACTTTCCCCCCACTGTATCCATAGTGGGACTGTCCCACCAAAGACAGATATCTGGCTACTTTGTGGCTAGAGATTAGATCCCTAGCTTTCTGATCATTTCAATTTACACAACCAGAGGTTCTCATTTCCAGTTGTTGGAAGGAAACCATTCCCTATAATCTGATTCCTATCCCCTGAGGAAACTTCTTTTAAAAAAATTATTGATGTCTTAAAAAAAAAGCAAAAAAACTATCACAGTCATTTCCCAGTGTAGTGTCCACCCCCAGCAAAACTGGCTGACAAAGTATAGGCAACATTCTGTGTCCATAATCCCCTCTACTAAAAAGAGGGAAGTATGCTTCATTCTCTTGTTTTCTGGGACTGAGAGATCTTGTTTTGCTGCATTTTAATATTGCTGAAGCAGCTTCTTTGCAACTTCACCCAGAAGAAAAGATTCAACTAAATGGGGCTTCCCCTACAGGTACAGAGCAAGCAAAACCGGTCAAAGAGGGCCTCTTGCGGAATATACCAAACATATATCACTGTGCACAGGTTAACTTCATGCAACAGAGAAGCCGTCATACAAGACCACTGTTCTGAATCCATATAACCAATGTGGTTGTGGAGAAAGCAGGGGAAACTCCATCACTGTGCCCCTCACCTCATTGGAAGTAGTGAGTGCGTTAAGCCCCAGAAAGTTAATTACCTGAGCTGAGGCAGGCAAGAGCTGGAAAGAGCAAAAGGAGCTTGAGGGGTAAGAGCCTGGTTTGGGCCATGCCTAGTTCCATTCCCATCCAGTCCAGTTCACTCCAAATGCCTAGACCAGAGAAGAGAAAATAAAAATAGAACGTCAAAGGCAAAGCCAAGACGAGCAGTTTTTAGGGCTCTGCCCATATGGGTAAAAGAAACAGGAAGAAGCCCCTAATGATTACCATTCATCAAAGCTCTAGAGGGTTTTCCTGAGGTTTTAAAATAACCTTTCAATGTGTGGTTCTCTATTAAAGCTGGGCCCCTGCAGCACTTAAATTTTTTTTTTAAACTTTTAAAAAATCTTTTAAAAAATGGTCTCCAGAAGGAAAGGCCCATCCATTTCCTGTTTCAAAACCAACCAAATGATGCTCCTTTAAAAAAATTCAATTTTATTTCAACCATGCTTTATCAAATTATATACACACTGCACAAATCTATGCTATTTAGTAATAAAAGAAATCCATTTTTTTTTTTGCTTTATGAATTTCATTTCTAGTGTTTCATGTGTCTCCAATGAAAGCACTTTACTTGTGCCTGGATAGAGAAAATGGGGGAAAGTAGTTACAAAAATTGTCACATTTACAATATGTTTTATGGTCAGCCTCTTGTTATTGTAATTTGGAAATAATTTCATTTCTAAATAAAACTACTTCTACTATTTTTGTCCAAAATTGCCAAAAATTCAAAGGGAAGGGGATAAGAAAAGGGAACAAAGCATTTATATAGTGTCTATCATGTGCCAGGCACTGTGCTTTTTATAAATATTACCTTAAAATAAAATACAAAGGTCAAAGTACTCTCTATGACACAAAGTTCTTTTGTTGGGACGGGGTGAAAAATCAGAGCAATCAATAAATCAACAGGTATTTATTAAGCCCCTATTATGTATTAGCACTGTCCTTGAGCTGGGGATATAAGTACAAAGAATGAAATGAAAAGAAGGATTTGCCTAACTTTGAAATGAATCTTGTTTCTTAATTTAACAAAGTTTTCTTGAAAAATATGCAACTAGATTTAGATTCCCTTCTACCCCTTCATCAGTTATGATTAGTGAAAATATTAAGTAAGGAAACAAATTTTGCATGACTTAATATGTATAATTGATATCATATCTTACTTGCCTTCTCAATGGGTGGGGAGAGGCTACAGGGTGGGAGAGAATTGGAAACTCAAAATTTAAAAAAATGAATGTTAAAAATAAATGAATAAATCATAAATTTGAGGGAGGAAAGTAAAAATATTAAGTACCTAGAGGACTGAAGTAGACTGTATCAGTGGAAAGAACCTATAGATATGCAATAGAAATGACTTCTCATTTCCCTGGGCCACGATAAATGGAGACTATGAGGCAATGAGACTTATTCGTGGATAAATGTACTTACAGGAATGATTTAGGAGCCACACAAAATCATGCTCATGGATTTTAATTATTATTGCAATCTGTGTGAACTTGGACAAGACTCTCAGCATCTAAATTCTTTCATCTATAAAATCAGAGGCTTAGATTCCGTGTCTGCCAGAGTTCCTTCTGCCTCTAAATCTATGAACCTGTGGCCAAATGATCTCCAAGGGCCCTTCTACCTCCAAATCATATGTTACAAAGACTACTGTCAAAATACATTTTAACCCAGCTCATTCAGCAGACTTGGGAATTTTCAAAAGCATCTTTGAAGAAGGAAGATTTAACATTATTTTTAAAAAATTCTAAAAATCGTACCCCAAGGCTGAAGGCAAATCTAAAAGAAGACTTCCACAAAACTTTTGGACAATCATATCTGGAAGAAGTACAGGGTCTCCCAAGGGGACTACTTTGAAAGAGGCAAAACTCATTCAGATCTACAAGTTCCAGTCTGCTGGTTTAAAAAAAAAAACCACATCCCACTGAACTATAGTAGCTTGCAGTACTTTAAAAATCATCCCACGTTAAGATGAGCAAAATTGTACTTACCAAAGTCGAATTCCTTCCTTTTCTTCTCTAGAAAAAGTTACAATGAGAGCTGACCCTCTTATTCCACAGGCTTCCAGCCTTGAAATGGAAAATCAGTCTCGTTAACTGTCTTTTTCTCAGAGTGATGTCACTAAGACGTCACTTCCCCACCACTTCCCTAAAATGATTTGAGGATCTGATCCTTCTTTGACCTAGAAGTATTAGAGTCAAACCTAGGGTTGGCTTGAGATGAAGTCAAAGATGGAAGAGACGCCCACAGAGTGTGATTTCAGGAAGGTCCTAAAAGAAAGCAAGAAACAAACTTTGACACCAGGGCTGTCCCTAGGGGAGAGTGAACCTGGAGAGAACAACATGGGGACTGGCCACCTCTGTCCTCTCTTTTTTGTTTCTTATTAAAGGGGCCATCTCTCAACTCACTTCTTTTATTTATTCATTCATTCATTCATTCATTCATTTATTTATTTTAATTTAAGCTAGGCAATGGGGTTAAGTGACTTGCCCAGGGTCACACAGCTAGTAAGTGTTATGTGTCTGAGGCCAGATTTGAACTCAGGTCCTCCTGAATCCAGGGCTGGTGCTCTATCCACTGCGCCACCTATCTGCCGCTCTTGATTCACTTCTTAAAGAAGCCTATTTACTGAATGGGCATTGCCTCACTCAAAGTGAGAACTTGGGAAGACCTTAGCTTAAAAGGGCTAAGGTCTCCCACTGTATCTTAGGCAATCTCCAGTCCTCCTGATGAATATTTGGCCACTGGGCCCAGATGGCTCTGGAGGAGAAAGTGAGGCTGGTGACTTTGTACAGCCATCCCTCACTCAAATCAAAGTCAATTGCAAGTCATGTTATCATCTCCCTGATGTCATGGTCCTCTTCAAGAATAAAGGACAAACCACACAATCACAACCTTTTTCTACAAGTGAAATCAGCTTAAACAGACACCAAGAGGGCAGCCTTGAAGTAGGGGGAAAAGTCAGAATAGAGATATAGACATTCTGGGAGGTGACTGTGTAAAAGTGGGAAAGGGCAGTTCCATTGGTATTGCTGTGTAAAGTTGGGTGCTTTACAAGCTGATTGTGTGTGTGTGTGTGTGTGTGTGTGTGTGTATGATATCTTCAAGTCAATACCACCTGGTAGGAACAACTTCCTGAAGCTGCAAGACACTTGAGAGAGAGATGGGAGCCAGTGTGTGTCAACCGAATCAAATCACCAGCATCACCTTGAACACAACGCCCCCTCCTCCTCTGATGGAGGTAGCAAAGGACCCAGAGCCCAAGATTTTTGGGTGCCCTCTGAACTACTAGCCAAAGACGTACAACCATCTTAAGGGGAACAGTCACTGTATAAAGAGGTCTACCTTCTTTATCACCACCAACATCAACTGCTGACCAGCTGCCACCCCAAGGCCATGTAAGCCCAAGATCCCTGGGAATGGCACTTCCCTCCTTCCTCCCTCCCAGCCCTGACAGTAACTCCCATGGTGATGCAATCTGGAACCACTTCTGCTGCTGTAGCAGCCCTTACCTCCTCAGTAGCCACAGCTGCTGGAGACCTGGAAAAAAGTAGTTCACACCACCAAAGTCCTTGGTCTCTCAAGTGGCACAACATCAGAAACTGATGTGATTTTATCAGTAGAAATGACACTAAATAAGATGTATTATCATCTATGTTGCTGCTCTACTCTAAGGACAGATGGACATTTCCATCTGACTTGTAGCTGAAATTTCTTATATGTGTTCTCTCCCCCATTAGAATGGGAGCTATCTGAGAGCAGAAGCTGTTATACTTTTCTATTTGTAGCCCTGGTGCTTAGCACAATGATTTGCACATACTAAGTGCTTTATTAAATAGATGCTTTTAATAAATAAAGCTCAAATAAACGCTTTTCCCCTTCCTTCCGGCCTCTCTCCCTCCTTCACTCCCTCCTTTCCTTCTTTCTTTCTTCCTATCATTCCTTGTGTGATAGCTTTCAGACCCTTCACTACCTGGGTCACCTTCTTGTACATATTCTGTTTCATCATATTGTCAGTCAGTGTCTCTCTTAAATTATAATGTCCAGGACTTGATGAAATACTCCAGACATCATCTCATCAGCATAATACATTATGACTGTGAAGTATAGTAGAATGAGTATTAGGTTTGGAGTCAGAGAACCTGAGTTCAAATTGAGGTTTGGTTGGTTTGGACAAGTCACTTATTTATCTGAGCCTTGGTTTCCTTATCTGCAAAATGAGGAGGCTGGGCTAAGTGATTTAGATCCCATGACTATTCCTTCTCACAGCTTATACAGTATACATATATTAATACAACCTAACATTATACCAGGGTTTTTTTTTTTCAGTTTTAAGTCACTGTTATATATTGGAGCTTATGAAATCGAAGCCAGAAAGAGGAGTCTCTCTCTCTCTCTCTCTCTCTCTCTCTCTCTCTCTCTCTCTCTCTCTCTCTCTCTCTCTCTCTCTCCTCTCTCCCTCTCTCTTTCTCTCTGTCTGTCTCTCTGTATCTCTCTCTGTCTCACTCTCTATGTCTCCGTCTCTCTCCCTCTCTTTCTGTCTGTCTGTCTGTCTTTCTCTCATGTATTCATAGCAGTACTTCCATTCTAACAAAGAAATAGAAAAAGATATGGTTTCCTACACACTGGGGAATGATGAAACAAATCGTGGTTTATAAATGTCATGAAACATTGTGCAGTAAGAAATGCTGAATATGAGGAATTCAGAGTAACATGGGAAGACTTTATGAATTTAATGCAGAGCTAAATAAGCAGTACTAGAAGACCAATAGATGCAATGACTAGAATAGGTAAACAAAGAGAACACTAAAAGTAGGGTGATCTTGGAGAAACTGCAATGACCTGTTTTCATCAGGTGGAATGATGGAACATAGTTCCTTCTTCTGATCAAGATCTAAGTGCTCCAGAGTGCCAACTTCAGCTGCATTCATGGCCCTTGGCACAAATTGTTCTCATCTGCCAGAGGAAATCTTCACGTGTTTGAGGTAGATGCCCCTCCCCCTCAAACCCCGACTCAATGATTGAGTTGTGGCCCTTTGGTTACCTTCAACTTGGTTTAGTCCATCTGTACAGTTTACCAGGGTGTGACAGCCATACTGCTACAGCTTCTTGGAGCCACAGGTGAAAGTTGAGTGCCAGAGGGACACCAAAGGTGGATGAGCAGCCTTGAGAAGGACTCAGCAAGCCCTCACCCAGAGGTGCTAGTCCTCCTTGAACACTCATACACTAAGTACAAAGTAAGTGCTTAATGAATGCTGATTTATTTGATTTGAATTGAAAGTGCATTGCATCTAGCATTAGGATCCCAGAATCTGAATCCAGGTTCTGCCTGGACAAGCTAGCTTCTGATTCCTTTGTGGTAAAATGAGGGTAATGAGTTATACTACCAATTTGAGAAGCAGATGAGATAATCTTTGTAAAGTACTTTATAAATGACCATTGTTACTATTATTGTTGATTTAGTCTGGACCTATGATTGAATCAGCATGGGAAGTCCCACTATGGAAACTCCCTCCACTGTTGCTGGTCAGTAACTATTCGTGATTTATAGTCTTAGAGAGCTACCTGGGGACACTTCAGGGTTAAATAACAGGCCCATAGTCATATAGCTAGTGTGTGTCAAAGACAAAACTTGAACTCAAGTCTTCCTAATTCTAAGGTTAAACCACTATCTATTATTTCACATAGTCTTTCATTATTATTATTGTTATTATTATCATCATCATCATTATAAATCCACCTACATGTACTAATATCCAATCTACATTTTTCTACCCTGCCTTACCAACTTGTCCAAATAATTTTAAATGCTGTCATCTATGTGTCTTTGTTGCCTTCCCTTCAGAAGGTAAGCTCCTTGAGAGCAGGTATTATTCAATTCGCTGTATTTGTATCCTCATAGTCAGTTAGGAGGAATTCAGAGGTACACAGGAGGTACTTGATAATTATCTGTGGATTAATCGATCCTAAGAATTATGTACATGACAATCAATGTTTTGATTACACTAGAACTATTTGTTGGTATGGATGAGCTTTAATAAGGTAAGATTGTATTTTTTACAGATTGGAGCAGGACTATGGTGATTCTATAATAGAGATGTTTTTAGGGAAAAAATGGAATTTGATCATTTATCCTGCTGGCACAATCGTTGAGGAACCAGGGTGTCACGTGAACTAGGGCTTTTGTAGCTGGTCATGAGATTATCATCATCAATATAATATCATGTTATAATATTATTGGTCATAATATAGTCATCTAATTATGGACCAATAATATGGTCATAATAATATCATCAATAGTAAAATATTTATTGAACATCTACTATATTCAGGGCATTGAGCTAGGTCCTAAGGATACAAACAATATACTATCTATACCATTCCTGTCCTTGAGGGGTTTATAGTCTAGACAGAACTCATGTATAAGCATATATTTATTTGTACATGTATGTGATATGTGAATATATAAAGAGTACACACATACATGTTTCATATATATATATATATGTATATGTATATGTATATATATGCAAGTGTATGTATAGGCCTCCACATGTAGGTCTATAGTGTGTGTATAGACCTACACATATACACCATTTGTGCATATATATGTATATAACACACACACCTATACACATTTTTGTTGTTGTTGTTGTTCAGTCATGTCTGACTCTTTGTGACCCCATTTGGGGCTTTCTTGGCAAAGATACTGGAGTGGTTTCTCATTTCCTTCTCCAGTTTATTTTACAGATGAGGAAACTGAGGCAAATAGGGTTAAGTGACTTGCTCAGAGTCACACAGGTAGTAGGTATCTGATGCCAGATTTGAACTCATGAAGATGAGTCTTCCTGACTCCAGAGCTCTATTCACTGCACCACCTAGCTGCCTCCTGTATCTCTCTCTCTCTCTCTCTCTCTCTCTCTCTCTCTCTCTCTCTCTCTCTTTCTCTCTCTCTTTCTCCCTCCCTCCCTCTCTCTCCCTTTCTCTTGCTCTTTCTTTCTCTGCCTCTCACCACATTATAGAAGTACTTATTTCACAAAAAATAAGGCTGGAGAGATTGATTGAAGCCATTTCATAGAAGACCTTGAATACTAGATTA